TCTGTTACTAAGGAAGAAGCAGCAGGACATTTCAAAACACTGAACACAATCAGTGGCAACATGGTTTTGTGAAAGGAAAATTATGTCTGACAAATTTGTTAGAGTTCTTTGAAGACATATGAGCAGAGTAGATAACAAAGAACTGGTAGATACAGTTCCTTTGGATTTTCAGAAGGCATTTAACAAGATGCCATACAAAAGGCTATTGCACAAAATAGGAGCTGATGGTAATCTATTAATATGAATTGAGGATTGGTTACATATCGAAGACAAGTGAGTCAGGATTAGTGGGTCTTTTTCATGTTGGAAAGACATAACTAGTGTTGTGACACAAAGATCAGTCCTAGGGCCTCAAATATTTATGATCTACATTAATGACTTGGAGGAGGGGCCAGAGTATAACGTATCCAGATTTGCTGATAATACAAAAATAGGTGGGAAGGTATGTTGTGATGAAGACAAAGAATCTGTAAGGGATATAGATAGGTTGAGCGAGTAGGCAAAAACATAATACATGGAGTTTAATGTAATAAAGTGTGAGATCACGCACTTTGATAGGAAGAATCAAAAGGCGAACTACAACTTGCATGGAGACGCTCTCCAAAAAATGCAGCACAGAGGGTTCTGGGTGTTCTTGTGCACTGGAACCAAAAGGTTAGAATGTAGGAGCAGCAAGTAATTAAGGAGGCAAATGGAATTTTGCTAGGGGATTCGAGTTGAAAGTAGAGAAGTCTTGTTCCAATTATACAGGGTGTTGATGAGGCCATACCTAGAGTGTGATGTACAGTTTCAGTCCACGTATCTAAGGAAGCATACGGAAGCTGTTCCATCAGGGGGAAAATCTTGAGCCAAGGGCACAGTTACGGAATAAGGGGTCACTTGTTTCAAACTGAGACATAAAGGAACTTCTTCCCCCAGAGTGTAGTGAATGTTTGGAATTCTGATTTACCACCTTTTGTATGGATTTTAAATTTCAATTTAATACTATCTTAACTTCCCTGGATAACCCTGATTGGCTTATCCCCTTCCTAGAATCTTTCTTCCTTTCTGAGATATATCTTTGCTCTGAGTCATGAACTACTTTCTTAAATTTCTGGCATTGTTCATTAACCATCTTTTCTGCTAAACGTCTTTCCCAACCAGCCAACTCTGCCCTCATTCCTTCGTAGTTGCCCTTATTTAAATCAGCCATAATTGTTTCTGACCCATGTTTCTCACTCAGAGACTGAATGCTATTTTTTACCATGTTATGGGCTCTATTTCCTTGGGATCTTTCACTCTGAGATCATTTAATAAACTTGCTTTATTATACCTTACCAGATCCGAAACAGCCTGATCCCTGGTTGGATCCAACAAAGGTGGCTCAGTGGTTAGCATTGCTGCCTCACAGCACCAGGGACCCGGGTTCGACTCCACCCTCGGGCGACTGTCTGTGTGGAGTTTGCACACTGTCCCTGTGTCTGCGTGGGTTTTCTCCAGGTGCTCCGGTTTCCCCCCACAGTCCAAAGATGTGCAGGCTAGAGGGATTGGCCATGCTAAATTGCCCATAGCGCTCAGGGATGTGTAGATTAGGTGGGTTACAAAGGGATGGGTCTGGGTGGGATGCTCTGAGGGTCAGTGTGGACTTATTGGGCCGAAGGGCCTGCTTCCATACTGTGGGGATTCTATGATCTGTATTATTCTTGGAAACTGACCTGAATTACTCTACAAGTTCATCTTCAATGCTAACATCTCCTATCTGCCAATGACATAAAAATAAGTGGCACAGCAAACAGTGAAGAAGATTATCTAAGAGTACAACAGGATCATGATCAACGGGACCAGTGGGCCGAGCGTTGGCAGATGGAGTTTAATTTAAATAAATGCAGGGCAAGACTTACACAATTAATAGTAGGGCCCTGTGGAATGTTGTCGAACAAAGAGACCCTGGGGTGCAGGTACATAGTTCCTTGAAAGCCGTGTCATAGGTGGGGAGGTGAAGAAGGCATTTGACACACTTGCCTTCATTGGTCAGGGTAGTGAGTATGGGTGTTGGGACGTCATGTCACAGCTGTACAAGACAAGACATTTGTAAGGTCACATCTGGAGGACTGTGTACAATTCTGGTCTCCCTGCCATGGGAAGGATGTTATTAAATTGAAAAGATACGAAAAAGATTTACAAGGATGTTACTGAGACTGGAGGGTTCAAGTAATAAAGGGAGGGTGGATAGGCTGGGAATTTTTTTCCCCTGGAGTATAGGAGGCTGAGGAGTGACCTTATGGAGATTTATAAAATTATGAGGGGCACAGATAAGGTGAATATTAGAGGTCTTTCCCTCAGGGTAGGGGAATCCAAAACTAGAGGGCACAGCTTTAAGATGAGAAGGGAAAGATTTAAAATGGACCTGAGGGGCAATGTATTCACACATACGGTGGCATGCATATGCAACGAGCTGCCAGAGGAAGTGGTAGAGGTGAACATTAAAATATTTAAAAGACATTTGGACAGGTACATGGATAGGAAAGGTGTAGAGGGATATGTGCCAAATGTAGCCAAATGGGACTAGATCAGTTTAGGAAACCTAGTCGGCATGGATGAGTTGGGCTGAAGGGTCTGTTTCTGTGCTGTATGACCGTATCTAATGTTACCTACTTGAAGATTAAAATCAATGATTAATGTACTGCTTTTTTTAACATGCCCTCATTATCTCCTGATTTATTCGCTGTCCAACAAAACAGCTACTGTAAGGGGACCAATAGACTATTCCTTCCATTGCCTTCCTCCCTTTGTTATTTCTTACCTCGATCCATTTGAATTCTAAAGTTTCCAATGCAAGATCATTTCTTGCTAACATATTAATTCCATATCGCACTTCCAAAGCTACACCATTCCCTTCACTTCTTCCCTGTCCTTTCAAAAGGTCACCTGATGTTGAATATTTCATTCTCAGCTTTGATCTCCTTGCAACCATGTTGCCACAATGGCTTTAAGATCACACCCTGCAACTTCTTTTTGTGCTGTTAATGCATTTATTTTGTTCCACGTACTACGTACATTTAAGTAAATAGCTATTAATTTTGCTTTTTTCAACCATTTTTTCCTTGTGACCTGATCTTCTGCTGCTTTTTTTATGTTTGCATATTCTTTCCATTCTTGTCCCACTCCGGGGATCACTGTCAAAATAGCTGCCCTGCAATGCTGCTGTATCCTTTTTCTTTATAAGTCTACGTTTCCCCTCTCCCAAAACCTTTGTCATTAGTTTGAAGCCCTCTCTACAGCCCTAGTTATTTGATTCCCCAGAACGCTGGTCTCAGCACAGTTCAAGTGAAATTTCTCCCACCAAAACAGCTCATTTCTAGCCCAGTACTGGTGCCAGTGCCCATAAACTGAAACTCATTCCTCTCACAGTAATCCTGAGCCACTCATTTAATTCCTTGACTTCATTTACCTTGTGCCAGTTGCCCATGGCTCAGGTAGTAATCCTGAGATTATTATCTTGGAGGTTCTGCTTTCCAGTTTTGGTCCTAATTGTTTAAAATCTTTCAGCAGAACTTTCTTTTGTATCTATCAATATTTGGCATCAATATGGATGACATCAACTGAATCACTCTCCACTCTCTCCAAGTTCCTCTCCAACCCTGGGGTTGGCACCTCAAATATGGCACCAGGCAGGCAACACAGCTTTTGGACTCTTCCCTCACAGCTGCAAAGAACAGTATCCATCCTCACACTTATCTACACAACTTGCTAGAATCCCATTAATGTTAGACAGTTATACAGACTGCACTCTGGGTCAACATACTTGCCTCTCCTACAATCACATCCCCCTCTCCTTGATCACAGACCAAGTTCACATGACCTCATCTAAAGGGCATGACTGCCTCTTGGAACAAAATGTTTTGGTAACTGTCCCCATCCCTGATGTGATGCAATGTCTGTAGCTAGACTCTAGCTTCTCCACTCGGATGTGAAATTACTCGAGCTGCAAACACTTGCTACAGATGTGTTCACTGTGGATCACCTTGGTGCCCAGCAGCTCCCACATGCTGCAGCTGCAACACAGTAAGTGGTTAAAATCACTCTAAAATCCCTGTGCTTTACATTTGAATGATCCCCATTCTTAACTTTATTGTATCATTTACCATTTTTAACGCTCTAATGTTAATCTTATGCCTAACTAGATTTTTTTAAAATAGAAAACAAAAGTAAAACAACCAGAGATCTGAACAGAAACTGAAGATCTTACACTTTAAAGACTAGAAACACTCACCAATCAGCTGCTTTGCTCAGACAAAATGAAACAAATACCTTTCTCTTTCCTCTGCTGAAATCCTTGAGATATTTAACCCCTACACTCTATTGTAAGTCACACTAGGTTGGCTTTTTATACATGTTCTGACACAAAGGGCCGAGCTCACTCAGTTAGGATCCAGTTTCAGTCCATTCTTAATTAGGCTACTCTTTCAATGCAGCTCTTGAAAATGGGCTGCTCAAAGATTGCTACTACAGAATTCAAAATTTCTGATTTCTCTTTAAGCAAACCACAAATCACAATTCTAAATTAGGTTTTCACACATTGAAGATTGAGACACTATCTTAGCCAGCAAATGCACGCACTCACTCCAAGTTCACAAGTAACTGCTAATAAGAAAGAAGTCAAAACTTTTTGTCTTGTGCTTATCAATGTTAACTTACATAGCATGAAAAGAAGATGCTGATTGCTCTTGTAGGCAAAAGGAACTTGTCCGTTTATTGCACCTTTCCTATTCAGAGACTACTGTATTCTGTATTACAATGCCCTGACCAATCAGAATCTACCTGCCTGATCTGAGTTTAATCAGCCAACTAAGATAGACAGGTAATAGTTCCTACTTCATCTCCAAACCAACCACAATCCAACCTATTGTATGAAATGTTATCTTATGGATAATATGGCTGAAATGCATATTGTGCTACACCCATTATCATGAGGGGACAACCTCCCCAGATTTGAGAGCGTGGGTTAAATAATAACTTACCTCAAACACAGTCTTGGCTGCATACCCCTGTACATGATCACGACTGACAACGATCTGAATGACTCGATACCACACCTCCTCACTAACATAGTCACCAGCGATTCGGATCAGGTTCAAGATGGTGTCGACATACCATGTGTAGTCCACTGCGTACCTCTCAGCCAGGATTGCTATTTTCAATACCTAGAGTGAAGAAATGGACTCATCAGACCTACAAAAGTCTTCAATGGCCCCATTTATAAAGTCCCAAAATTTGAGAACAAAATCTCAGCTGACACTCAGGAAGTGCTGCATTATCACAGATATCATCTAAGAGTAAGTTCTTCTTGGTGTCCTTAACAATAATTATCGCTCCGGCAATATTCTTGAACAGATTATGTAATTATTTTCTGACTTCTGTTTGTAGTTGCTTTTTTTTTTCATTACAGCAATGGTTACACTTCAAAAATACTGGAATCATTCCAATCCACCTCCTCTGCATCTGCTCAAACATCTTCACATTTTTCCTAAAGTCTAGTGACCAGGACTCAATCAATACACTTGCTGATGCTACCCAGAGCTTTCTGAATATAACTACCCTTCTTTTATACCTAATACCTCTATTTATAAAGTCTAAAATTGCACCTGCTTTGTATCCTGCTTTGTGGGAGGTCAATCATCTCAGCTCCAGGACATCTCTGCAGGAGTTCCTCAGGGTAGTGTCCTAGGCCCAACTATCTTCAGCTGCTTCAATGACCTTCCCTCCAATCATAAAGTCAGAAGTGGGGATGTTCGCCAATGATTGCACAATGTTCAGCACCATTTGTGACTCCTCAGATACTGAAGCAGTCCATGTTCAAATGCAACAAGATCTGGACAATATTCAGGCTTGGGCTGACAAGTGGCAAGTGACATTCACGCCACACAAATGCCAGGCTATGACCATCACCGATAAGAGACAATCGAACCACTGCCCCTTGATATTCAATGGTGTTACCATCACTGAATCTTCCACTATCAACATCCCAGGGGTTACCATTGACCAGAAACTCAACTGGAGTCACCACATTAACAGAGTGGCGACAAGAGCAGGCCAGAAGCTGGGAATACTGCGGCGAGTAACTCACTTCCTGACTCCTCAAAGCCTGTCCAAGGCACAAGTCAGGAGTGTGATAGAATACTCCCCACTTGCCTGGATGACTGCAGCCCCAACAACACTCAAGAAGCTTGACACCATCCAGGACAAAGCAGCCCGCTTGATTGGCACTACATCTACAAGCATTTACTCCCTCCACCATCGACACTGAGTAGCAGCAGTGTGTACTATCTACAAGATGCACTGCAGAAATTCCCCAAAGATCCTCAGACAGCACCTTCCAAACCCATGACAACTTCCATCTAGAAGGACAAGGGCAGCAGATATATGGGAACACC